ATCAAGTGGATTTCAAACCAACACTGATTAAGAGAGACAAACAAGGACACTATATCCTTATAAAGAGAACAATCCAAGAGGAAGAAATGACAATCATAAATATCTATGCACCAAACACTAGTGTGCCCAACTATATAAAACATGGACATGAAAAATCATATAAGCACTAATACAATAGTAGTGGGGGGACCTCAATACCCCAATGTCACAAATACATAGATCAACTAGACAAAAAACAAGCAACAAAATACTAGAACTCAGTTAAACTCTTGAACAAATGAACTTAACAGCTGTTTACAGAGTGTTCCCCACAAAATCAGAATATACTTTACAGCTGCATGTGGGTCATTCTCCAAAATAGACCACATACTCACTCATAGAACATATTTAGGTAAGTGCAAAGGAATTGAAGTGATCCCTTGTATATTATCAGACCATAGTGCGATGAAATTGGAGCTCAATAGCAAAAGAAACCACAAAAATTTTATAACCATATGGAGATTGAACAACACACTTCTGAATAACCAATGGGTCACAGAGGAAATTAAAGAAATCAGACAGTTCCTTCAATTAAATGACAATGACAATATGACATATCGGAATCTATGGGACACAATGAAACAGTCTTACCAGGGAAATTCATAGCAGTGAATACTCATATTAGGAAAACAGAGCGAGCCCAATTAAACAACCTGATGCTGAACTTCAAGCTTCTAGAAAAAGAAGAGCAGGACAAACCCGAAGCTCACCGGGCATTTAGCTCAGTGGTTCTGCCGCCTGCCTCACAAGCACAAGGACTGGAGTTTGATCCCTGGTACCAAAAACAAAACAAATGAACAAACCCAAAGCTTGTACAAAGGAGGAAATTTTAAAGATCAGAGCAGAGGTCAATGCAATGGAGACTAAGAGAACAATACAAAAAATCAATGACGCCAAGAGTTGGTTCTTCAAAAGAATAAACAAACTTGATAAACCCTCAGCCAACCTGTTCAGAAAAAGGAAAGAAAAGGCCCAAATCCATGCAATTAGGAATGAAAAGGATGAAATTACAATGGACCCAGCAGAAATCCAGAGGATCATCAATACCTACTTTGAGAACCTATACACCAATAA